TGTTTTGACAAATATTAATACTGTAGAACTACTGAATTTATAAATTGTTTTAAAATCGTTTTATGAAATTACCAAAGATTATTAAATACTTCAGAAATATTGATCATTGTTAGCTCATGTTAACTAATGTAGTTATCTATTTAAATAATGAAGCCTTATTGTGCATAAGCACCACTATTTTTGGTATAAATTTAACCCAGAAACATTTTATATTAATTAATCTTTGGTAATACATGAGGTAATGCTTTAACATGCTATCATTGGTAATTAACTTGTTTTTTTTGTTTTTGGACATGTACCATATTATTATGACAAAACATTGCTTGGCAAAGCTATTGTTACATGGTGTCTGCATTATAATGAATGAAGCTGTCAACTCTGGAACAGTCTGTGAGACTTTGGAAAGTAGGCTATTGTTTCTACATCAAATCAGATTTAAAAAAAAAAAATTTTTTTTAAAGCACTGTGGGATAAACGACATAGAAGAATCTTTAATGCTCGACACATTTCTGCCTCCACACAGTATATACGATATACAGCCCAGTCCTATCAGACAGACAGAAATTCCCTTTATAGATCCGTGTGTCATTTTAATCCAGCTTTCTTCATTTTAAAGTAGTTCATCGTTTCCCAAATGTCTCTGGCTTGATGGATGTGCAGCGCTCTTTTCCTCTTCAGAAGGCATCAACCCTCCTCAGGATTGTCTGTCTAAATTTGGCAGCACTCCTTTTTTTGTCAGTGTACGTTTTTTAGTACCTTTAATTCATGCTCACTAAATAAAAGGCTCTGATCTCCATTCTGGATTCAGAGTAAGCCTGCAAAAGGGCATTTCACGCTCTGACAGGGAGAAGATTCATGCCGTTCTAGTGGCGTCTCTATCTGCTTCTACTGTGTTGTGTTCAGAGACAGAGACGGTCTGAGCTACCGTTTGTAGTTACACCCCTGTCATTCACATGCTTTACAGAATTAGTTGCTACCTTTGAGAGTGATTTATGAAAAATAGGTGAGTTTTGACATTTTTAAAGCAGGGGTTTTCAACGAGTTTTCAGAGTTTGGGGAAAAAAAAAAAATAATAATAATAATAAATATATATATATGGATGCCATATGTATCATCTTTTTAATATGAAGAACAAAATATGTCTGTCTGTCTTTCTGTCTATCTGTTAATTTGTATTATGCTTATAGTTATGCTTATGGTTATATATTGATTAATTCTAAAATTATTAATTATAATCATATATTAAAAACAAACTATACATAGAATGCATATTGTTTTATATTAATATTATAACAAATATTAGATTTATTAATTTTAATAAGATTTAAAAAAAAATTTAATTTGTTTTATAGCCCAGTAAGCTTTGTACTGCATCAAAAAAAAAAAAAACTGCATTTCAGAAAGCCGATCAATTGTCATATTGTAATTTTTCTCCTGTTTTTTTTTTTTTTGCGTGTGAAATTTGTTTGTAGCAGCTTGTTGGTTTCTCACACAAAGCTATTTTATGACTTCAGATTATTTGTAATATAGTGCACAAGTTGTATGGACTACTTTTATGGTTCTGTTTTTTACACTTAATTAATTTACAAAAATCTTTTTAATTTGTCTTCCACTGTAGAAAGACAGCCATTTGGGTTTGTAACAACATTAATGTTCATAAATAGATATATTTGCAGAGCTAGCCGTGTGTTTGTGTATTGTATGTTGTGTTGTGTTTCCTTCAGCGTGTAGTACATGTGCCGCCGCAAGGCGTCCTGTCGCGATACGACTGCACTATCGTATCAGATCCACATAAATAATGAAGACGGCTGGTGTAATTCAGTTCCTCTGTTGTACCCGAGCCCGATTCTCATAAGACGACCCTGTTATCTCCTTCTGAGTGTACCAGTAGAGCAGGGAGTGATGGGGAGGACACTCAAAATCAATAAAACGTCCAGTTTGGCGTCTACAGGGGGCAAAACATGTCAAGAGCCATTTAAAATTCTGTTTGTACAGCTCAATAACTGAAGTGTATGGGGTTTCCATACAGGAGGCCGATAGTAGCTGCTCGTGTTTCTTTTGATGTTGCTTTAATTCACTCGCTCCAGAGGCAGGGTAAATATTTCATAACCTTCCTCAAATATTGATAAAGCTTTTATTCACGGCTCATTTGCATCATACCAATTTTGAGAAAGTTATTTTGGAACTTTTTTAAGACGTTCTGGAGCTCCTCGCTGGTTTTCTCAGCAGTACGTTGGTGTCTTTTTCTTGGTGGGAAAACCATAATTCATGCAAATGATCTGTAAATATTGTCCTACGTGGGGATTAAGTTCACTGGAGCAATCCGGCGAGGAATGAAGCGCAATGCTGCGGTGTGTCAATCTCCCAGTTCTTTCCAAAAAACACGGCGGTCACAAAGGGCCAGACCCCAGCAGGATGTGCATATGTATTGGCTAACCCCAGGTGGAGGCTCATTGTCTGTTCCTTCAAAGATTTGAATTTAAATGCCCAGCTCTGCAGCTGCTCTCTCTCCCAGCATGCACTGGGCCCCTTTAGGGCACAAAAGCGTCCTTGGAGCTGCCAAACTGGCCTGTAATCC